GAGGACTCAGTTTTTCTGGGAAATTCCAGGAAGTCATATGGGGAGCTGAAGGTGGAAGGGAAGGAGAGTCCGGGGCTGAGCCAGTGAGGTAAGAAGGTAGGCAGGGCCTGGCTTGTGGTTGCCAAGGAAGCCTCATTGTTGGTAACAGAAGCTGCTCCCTCAGCTCAATCCACAATAGCTAAAGTACGGAACCAACCTAGGTGCCCTTCAGTGGATGAATGGATAAAGAAAATGTAGTACATACAAACAATCGAATATTGCTCAGCCATGAAGAAGAATGAAATTATGACATTTGCTGGTAAATGGATGGAACTGGAGAATATCATGCTAAGTGAAATAAGCCAGTCCCCCAAAACCCAAAGGCTGAATGTTCTCTCTGGTATGTGGATGCTAACTCACAAAGGGGTGGGGATAGGGAAGAATAGAAAATCTTTGGATTAGACATAGGGGAACAAAGGGAAAGGAGGTGGAATGGGAGTAGGAAAGATAGTAGAACGAACCAACATTACTATCCCGTGTTCACATATGATTACACGACCACTGTAATAATTATACATCACGTACAACCACAATAATGAGAAGTTATATGTTGTACATGTACAATATGTCAAAATACGTTCTACTGTCATGTGTAACTAATAAGAACAAATAATTTTTAAAAAATCTGCTGGTGCCTGTTGGTATGCGGGTGTGCATGCAGAATCCCACTCCCATGTGCCATCCAGGTGCATGGAATGCCGTCCAGGTGTGTCGGCAGCTCATTCCCCGCCGGGTGGTATAGCAGCTTAACCTTCTTTGACAGCCTACAGCTACCAGGGTGGGCTCGGGGGGAACTGATGTTGTTCCAGCCTTGGGAGGGCATCAGCTCTTCAGGGAGAGGCAAGCAATCAGAGGGGCCTGGGGATCAATCCGTGGGGGACAGCCACCTGGATGCCCCACCAAGACCTGACCTTGACCTTGAGTCCCACTCCAGCTGAAGCCACGGGTGGGGCTCTGCTGCTCTCCCCTCCTGCAGGAGGTGGAGGCAGAGAAACCGTGGCCAGGAGGCCCCTGACGCACTTGGCTTCCAGCGCTCAGGAATTTCCCTCCCCTTACCATTTGGAGCAGTGCTTGGCAGCAGCCTCCTGACCACTCCCCTATGTCCCAGCTCACCCCCAGTGACAAATGCAATGTGCCCAGGGCCCCTGCCTCAGCTGGGCATCCAGAGTGGATTCCAGTGCCAGGTCTTGTCACCACTCTGGCTCCCCGAAGCCAATCCAAGATGGAGTTTGGGACAGAAACCGTGTGTCAGGGCTGGACACTGCAGCAGGAAGAGGAGGGGGACTGGGCAGAGGGAGCCTCTCGCCAGCCCTGAGGGATGTCAGATTCCCCCTGGGACTTCAGTGTCCCCTCCTAGCGTGGACCGCAGGTGAGGTGGGTTTGCAGCAGTGGCTGCTCTGGAGGGCTGGGTGGTCCCTGTGTGTCTTATCACTGGAGACCCCAGAGATGAGATGATATCTGTGTCTCCCCTCTTCTCCAGGAAGGGGTCCCGGTCTCCTGCCCTGGGAAGCACCAGGGCAGGGAAGGCCGGGTTCTTGTTGCTGCACATTCAAACCACCTACTCTGGCCTGTCTGCAGGTTCAGGTACCCATGACTCTGTCCACACCTGTCCAGAGAATGCACTGAATGCCCTGTGCCTGGGGCACACTGTTCCTGAGATGTCACAGACTACTCTTGGGGAGCCGTTCTCACCCCATGGTGACCTCCCATGTGAAATTCTCCAGAGAGACAGGAGGATGTGTATGCATATGTACATACTCATGTCTCCCTTTCTTTCTGGTAGTGATGGGGATGTAACCCAGGTCTTCATGCATGCTTGGAAAGCACTCTGCCACTCAGCCACACTACCAGCCTTTTAATGTTATTTGGGGACGGGGCCTCACTAAGTTACTGAGGCTGGCCTTGAACTTGCAAGCCTCCTTCCTCAGACTCCTGAGTTACTGGGATTACAGCTGTGTGCTGTCTCGCCCCACTGGGATGAACCTCGAGGACATAACTAACTCTTAAGTGAAATACGCCAGAAACAAAATGAGAAATTGCAGTCTGATTCCACATACTCGAGCTATTTCAAATAGACTGTTAGAAATAGAATAGAAAGTTGGGTGCTGGGCTGGCGGAGCGACCTCAGAGAGGGAGGACAGGGGCGCTGTTCAAGGGGAACAGAGGTTCTGTTTTGCAAGATGAGAGTTCTAGAGACCTCTGGCACAACAGGGTGCACACATTAATACTACTGTATTGTGCACCTCAAAATGGTTAAATGATGAAATCCCAGCTACTTGGGAAGCTGCGGAAGAAGAAGGAAAGTTCAAGTCCAGCCGGGCAACTTAATGAGATCTTATCTCAAAACCCAAAAGACCTGGGGATGTAGCTCTGTGGAAAGTGCCCCTGGGTTCAGTCCCCAGTACTGGGGGAAAAAAAGGTTAAATGGTGTTTTAGTTGTTCTAGGATTTTTCTGTTCTTTCTTCAGTGATCAGAAGAGACACAAGACAGAAAATATCTGATTACTCTCAGGGGCCACACGGCCTGCCTGGAGGCCACACAGAGGTGATGTGGGAGGGGCGAGAGAGGGCAAGAAGGTGAGGACCTGTGGCCTCTGCCCTGGGCCCTGTGTGCTGCCCCTGCTGGCTCTGAGGCAGCCAGGGGAAAGGTGGGGTACTGCCTCAGCTCTGACTTGGCTCCGGGGTGCAGCTGAAGCATGGATTGTGAGGCCACCGAGATGTCTGGGACCGTCCGTGCTGCAGCCTAGAAGCGTCAGTTCAGGGACTAGGGGTCCCTAAGGCTAAGCCTGTGGTCCATGGCTGTGAGCCAGAGGCAGGAGGGAGTTGCTGGGTGTGGCTGTCCAGGGCCACAAGGACATGGTCTCTAACTTGATGGCTTAGACCCGGACCTCAAACCCTGGGCTTGGATCTGGGTGCTGTGGCTCACCACATCCTGTGTTGTGGGGAAAGGAGTTCAATGCACACAGCACGCCGCCTCCAGGGGGAAACAGGGCCAGAATGCAGCCAAAGTGAAGGAACAGGATCCCACTCCACCCCCCCAGACCCAGAGCCAGGTTCTCTTCCAGTCCTGCCCTGAGCTCAGCCAGGAGATGCCCCTGTGGTCAGCACAAATCTTTCAGCATCAACAGCTGGCCTGGACCCGAACAGGGAGCACCCTGCAGCCTTGGAGGTTCTGGCAGGCAGAGGAGGGAACTAGGTGGGGCCTGTCATGACTGTCCCTGAGGGCAAGCCCAAGAGGGACGGGAGGGGCACCGTAGCCCGCTAGGGCTCTGGTCTGCCCTTGAAAACCCGAGGGCTGTGGCCAGGACACTGGCTGGTTGGGGCAGAGAGGATCTAGGCTGGGCTTTGGGGCTAGCACTGCTGCGTGGTGGTTCAGTAGACCTGGGTGGGAGGAGCTGGCACACTTCTGGGGAGGGAGCAGGCGGGAGCAGAGGTCTGTGCGCCACTCTGGCGCCTGGGCACATGGATCCCAAGAGAGCCAGCTTTGCTGTTCTGAGTGGAAGGCAGGTCAGGTTTCCTCAAGAAACCTCAGAATAGCCCCTGGCTGCCGAGGAAGCCTGGCCCTGCCTCCCAGCAGCAGGCCGGTCCCAAGGCTGACTGCCGAGGCCACCTGGGCTCACGTTCAGCAGTCTCCTCCCTGAACTGCCACTCTCAGCCTGGCTTGTGCAGGCGGCTGGGGTCCTGATACCCTGACTCAACCAACCTGTCTTTGGGAAGTTTGGGCCTGTGGGGGTGGAAGGGCATCTAGGCGAGGCCCGTCAGGGGCCCTTTCACAACAAGTCTCACAAATAAGTGACACCAGCCTAGGAAGAGGGTCCCCAGAACACAGGAAAGCCAGCTCTGGGGGTGGCCAGCCTCTGGGGGGATATCCTAGGAGGCTGCACCATGAAGAGGAAACAGCATCAGGGCCCCGCAGCTGGCCAGTCCCTCTCTGTCCTGTGCTTGTCTCTGGCGTGCATCTTAGGGTAAGGGGATGCCCAGGCCAAGGAGACCAGGAAGGGGCCTGTGGGGAAGGGCTGAGCTGTCCCAAAATAGGACCGGTAGGATTTCCACCCATAAAAGGCTTCTGGAGCCTGGACTCCAGGGACCCCAGGCAGCTAAAACACAGCTGCCACCACTGGCCGCGTGCTCTGCCCACAGGGTCCCTGCGCCAGTGTCGCGTTGCTCTCCTGACCAGCCACAGACATGGTAAGGCTGCTCCAGCACCAGAGAGCCACTGGGGGCCAACTGGGTGGCTGAGCCCGAGCTGGGCAGCTGGGCAGTGGGGAGGGGGCTGGGGTAGGCCTCTGGGCGAGGAGAATGGCTAGAGGGGACCTGGAGGTATAAGGGCCCCTCTGGGAGCCTGAGCAGCAGCTTGGGGAAGGGGCTGAGGAGCGGGTGGAGGCCGAGACTCTGCCACCAACACTGCCCTCTGCGTCTTTGTGCCCCACCAAACCCTTGCTGAAGGTTCACCCAGGACCACTGCTGGAGGGGCCGGCGGAGGGGCCGGTGGAGGGGGCTGGATGCAGAGGGGGCTGGATGCAGAGGACTCTTCCTCAAGCTACTTCTGGGGCCCTGGCTGCAGGCTGGCCTTCACCTGGTCTGGTGGGGCTCCTCCCTACACTGTTGCCCAGTGCCCTTTACCTGGTCTCACCTGGTGTCCCCTGCCTTGGCCCTAGGCCTGGCCCACGGCTTCTGCAGCCTTGCTGTTTCCCTCCTGGCTCACCTGTGCCCTGGCTCCTGTGTGCCCACCTGGTCCCCTTACCTGAACCCTCTGCCTCACTTGTTCTTGTCCCTTTCAGAGCCCTGCTCACCCTGAAGCCCTTGCTCATCTAAGAGGCTTGCTCTGTGCTGGGGTGGGGGCGTGAGTGTGTGTGTGTGTGTGTGTGTGTGTGTGTGTGTGGTGCTGGGGATTGAACCCAAGGGCCTGGTGCAAGCGAGGCAAGCCCTGTACCAGCCCTGGAAGACCTCCTCTTTAAGCACATGGGTGCCCTGAAGGGTGGCCAGGTGCACAGACCTGGACAGTGGGCCAAGAGAGCCCCTGGTGAGACTGGGTGCGGGTGTCCCCTGCAGACGGAGCGCCTGTCAGCTGAGCAGATCAAGGAATACAAGGGGGTCTTTGAGATGTTTGATGAGGAGGGCAACGGGGAGGTGAAGACCGGAGAGCTGGAGCGGCTCATGAGCCTGTTGGGCATCAACCCCACCAAGAGCGAACTGGCCTCCATGGCCAAGGACGTGGACAGAGACAGTGAGCCGGGGCCGGTGGCACAGGCGGGGTGCAGCCCCGGGGTTGGTTCACGTATGTGAAGAGTGGGGAGGAGACAGAGCCACCGGAGGGGTGGAGTGGGGCCCAGCCCACCCCTTACTTGAGGGGGACGGGGGACGGACCTCTTGCAGACAAAGGCTTCTTCAACTGTGATGGTTTCTTGGCGCTGATGGGGATTTACCATGAGAAGGCCCAGAACCAGGAGGGAGAGCTGAGGGCAGCGTTCCGGGTCTTCGACAAGGAGAGCAAGGGCTACATCGACTGGAACACACTCAAGTAGGGTGGAGGGGCTGGAGGGTGGGGTGGGCACAGGAGGGCACGGGCAGGGCCCATGGAGTGGCTCAGTGTGAGGATCCGGCAGGTACGTGCTCATGAACGCAGGTGAGCCCCTCAATGAGGTGGAGGCCGAGCAGATGATGAAGGAGGCAGACAAGGACGGAGACGGAACCATCGACTATGAGGGTGAGTGGGGCAGGCCCTGGGGCTGAGCGGCCAGGCCATCCAGGCTGCTGACCTGTGCCTCTGCCCCCAGAGTTCGTGGCCATGATGACCGGAGAGTCCTTCAAGCTGGTTCAGTAAGAGCAGCTGCTGTGGCTATAGGAGGCCTGCCACTGCCTGCCCTGCCCCTAACTGTGTCAAATAAATGCTGCAGTCTGACTCCTGTGTGCTTCACTGTCCCCAACCTGGAGGGAGGGGTGGCCATGGGGTGGGTCTGGAGAAGCGTCTTCTAGGGCAGCCACAGGCACATGGCCCTGGTCACTTCTGCTGAGACACTTGACCTGGTCTCTGAACAGAAGCCTAAAGGTCAGATGGCTTCATGCTTGCCCTGCCTGCCACACTGGGGGTAACTGCCTTGGGGCCCTCCTGGAGCCTCAGGGTCCCAGAGCCCTTTCCATATAGGTAGAGACCATTCAGACATAAATTTTATTCTGTCTCCAAAAAGCCATGGACACCACAGAGGGCCCCTAGGGCCTCCTCCAGGATGAGGACCTGATGGGGCCTGGCCAGGGGCTCGAACTGAGAGCATCAGCCCGCCCTCGGGGGTGGCTGACACAGGGCTGGCTGGCTGGCTGGCTGGCGTGCCAGGTCTGCAGCAGCAGTCTGGAGGGCTGACGTCCCGGGGGAAAGCAGGATGGGGCAGGCTGGGGGACCTTGGCTCCCGGAGTCAGGCCTCCAAGTGCTGTGGCTCTAGGAGGGCCCTTCTGCCTGCTTCAAGGGGCAGGGACTACTGCTGGGCTGTTGAACATTGGGGCTTGGCTCCGGGGGCCCTGGAGTGGTCTCTAGGCCCGAGGTCCCAGGAAGAGTTCCGGGTTTCTGGGAGGGGGCCAGCTCCTCTTCTCTGGGTTTTGCCATCTTGATGGCCTCATCATAGGAGGGTGGCAGCTCAGGTGCATATAGGCTATAGGCAGGAGGGACCATGGAGTCAAGGTCCAGCTCCCCAAAGGGCAGGGGCAGCTGCATGCCCAGTGGGTACTGCACGGAGCTGTAGGCTGCAGGGAACCAGAATGCGTTTATGGAGGTGGGGCTGGCATTCACCACCCTAAGCCCCCACCCACTGCTGGCTGGTGGGCCACCAGGCACTCACAGGTCACAGTGCTGTGCACAGGGCTGTCACTGTCCACAGGGATGACCGTGAGGTCGCAGGGCTGCCATGCTGGGGGCAGGTGTGTCTGTGTGTGCACCTGCTTCCGGAGGCAGCAGAACCGGACGCAGCTAGCGGTGACTCCACACAGCAGCAGCAGGAGGACAGCGAGCAGGATGAGCCTGGCAAGAGGAGCAAGGCCCACCACCAGACTGACCCTCGGCCACCAGGCAGCTGCACCCTGGGGCCAACTGTGGCCCAGCCACCTAAGATGGGACAACAGGCAAAAAGAAACCCAGAGAATGTCTTTCCATGCCAGAGACCTCCCTGGCCAGGGCCAGACTGGAGAAACCCGCCTGCTCTGGCCGCCGGCTGCTGGGCCTGCCCTACTGTCTCTCCAGGGCTGGCCAGGGGTGGCCTTGGGCTCAATCCCAGGACACACTGTCCCCAGTCAACTGCACAATCCTTGTGCCTTCTGGTGGCTGTGACCAGGCTTTGCTCTGAGCCAGCCCAGGGCCCTGAGCCTTGCCGGCAGCACCAGCAGAGGCGACTAGATGCCGCGTGGGGTCTCATGTTTCCAACAGGGTCTCTCCCGGAGGTGAACCATCTGACCAGCGGCTCTGAGCAGCGGCCTACTTACCCCACGTGCCACAGGCTGCTCCAGCGGGCCTGGGAAGGGCACCTGCAGGGACAGCAGCACCTGGAGCAGGTGGGCACCGGCCCCCGACGACCTCACCACCCAAACCTCCCCGCGGCGCGGGCTAGGCCCCGCCTCCCTCATCCCCACTCGGACTTACTGGTCCGAAGGGTCGCAGCTGCGGTCCGCGGAGCCCAGCGCCACCTGCGGGGACAGGGATGAGCCCAGGCGGGGCGTGGCCGAACGCAGACCCACCCCGAGTGCCCGAATCTCACGCGCGGCCCAACCCACCTGCGGCAACGGCAGGAGCGGCAGCAGCAGCAGAATCCCACGGGCAGCAGGTGGCCCCGGGGCCATGCTCCGCGCTGACGCCGGAGCCGAGCCTGGCTGGCTCAGGGTTTTACGAGGCCCCGCCCACCACGGCCCGCCCGCTCCCGGGGATTGCTCCGCTCCGTGCGAGCCCCGCCCCCGACGCCCCGCCCCTGCCCCGGTCCCGCCCTTGGAAAGCCGGGGCTCCTTGCAGACCCGCCCGGTGTCTCCCAGGCCCAGGGTCACCCAGGCTTGAAGCGGGCCTCCTAGGCCCTGTGCCAGTAGGTCTCCTTGGTGCTGCGCTGGCCTGTCCTGCAACTGGCTGAGCTTGGCTGCTGACCCTCCTTCCTCCTGCCTTGACTGTGCTTGATCTTGCAGGGCCAGCACCGGAGTGGCAGGAGGAGTGGACACCCAAGCACAGCCTGAGTCTGGGCCAGAGCCTGGAGTCCTGAGCCAGGTATGCTCTGCTGTCTCACAGGAGGGAGAATCTTCCGTGGAGTACCTCCTTCTGAGGCCTGACATGGCCGGTGGACCCTGCCACCCCCTCCCATCTGGCCAAGAAGCACATCTAGGGTCTGGGGGCCGGGAGGGGGGCCAGTCAATGCTGGTCAGCCCTAGTGGGGGCAGCAAGGGGCCTGGGTCTGTCACTCTTTGGTCTTCTGGACAGAAATCCTGCAAAATGCTACAGCGTCCATGTCACTCAGAGGCAACAACCGGCTTCTAATGCCAAGGGCACTGAGCAGGCACCAGAGACACTACCCCTCCATTTGCTCCGACGGCTGGCCCTGGGTTGGGATGGCAGGGGGCCAGGCTGGCTTTGTGCCCAGCAAGTCACTCTCTTGAGGAAAAGAGCTAGCAGGTGGTAGGTGGGTGTGTAGGAGCATCTCAGGGCTGGAAGTGATTTTCTCCCTTGGAGCGTGGATCAGAACCCAGAAAGCAGAATCCAGGGTTCTCAGACAAGCTGAGGCCCAAACTCACAAGCTGGGCCTCATTCTGGCCCCTGGATGGGCCTGAGTGAGGAGTACAGGTGAGCTGGGCCCTTGACATATTTGCTAAATCCTTGTTTGAGGCCAGGGTCCTGGGACTTTGGAGGTCCCAGGAGGACTAAGGGGCCTGCCCTGGATTTTGGAGTCCCTTCTCCCCTTCTCTCTTCTCCCTGTACCACTCGGAGCCCGGGTCAATCCCAACTCCAATCCTGTGCCCCCAGCGCCCTGTGCTGCCTGCTGTTGTCCCTGTGATCCAAGTTTGGGCATCTCCCTGTGTTTGGGCAGATTCCCACCATCCAGGAGGTCCCCGCCCAGCAGGTTGCTGCTTCATAAATGTGCACGCACGCAGGTGTGTAGGTAGGGGCTACTTCCCAGAGCTCTATCCTGTCTGCTGGGCTGGTCATCCATACTGCAGTGGCATGGTTGGCTCCTGGAGTTTATTGACAGGCCTGTGGGGGTGGCTTTCCTAGGGCCTCCGAAGTCTGGGCAGGTTCTGGTGAGTGTGGGTCTCTGGCCAGGAGCAGTGTGAGCTGACCAAGACTTATCCCTGGTTCTGAGGGCTCAGGGAGAGGGGTGCTCTTGGGCCTTGGGCTTGTTGAGTCCAGTGCAGCAGGAAGTGGCCATGGATTGGCGAACCCTGGTCGCGGGGCCATTCAGGAGGCTGACTATTTGAACCTGCCCAGCAGGGGATGCCCAGGTCCCGGCCCCTGGGGTGTTTGGCCAGGCCGACAGCCTCTGAGGGCTTTAGGGGTGCGTGGGAGAATGCGAGGGGCTCATGGAGCTGCTCCTTGGTCTCAGGGGCCAGTCACCACATTGGCTACAAAGATGACCTTGTAGGTCTCCTTCACGTCCCCTTTGAGCTGCAACAGGGCTGATACCATGAGAGGATGGTCCGGCTAGAACAGGAGGGAATAGGAAGGAGGGGACTCTCAGCCGGTGGGCACCCTGGGCAGAGGCCCCTCTTTCCTGCCGTTCTGCCTGTCTTGCCCCCACACTGGTGGGGCAGGGCTGGCACCCTCCCAGCCTGGCGCTCCCTCCGGCACCTACATCAAAGTCCGTAGGGGGCACCCAGGAGATGCTGATGGTCTTGGTCTGTCCGTGCTCCACGATGCCCTTGGAAGGCTCTATGGAGAAGCCCTTGTGCTGCAGCCACGGGACACTGTCCAGGCTGAACTCCACCATCTGCAGGGCGTCGGCATGGCTAGAGGGTCAAGGCTAGGAGAGGCCAGGGCTGCCCAGGGCAGGGAAGGCCAGGGGTGCCATCACCTTCTTCGGAGATGGTTGGGTGGTCCTGATGCAGCCCACCTGCAGCTCCCGGGTGGCGGGTGGGGCTGGTGTGTCTGTGTCAAACTGGACATAGTCCAGGGTCAGCAGGATGGGTTTCAGCTCCTCCACGTCTGGAGAGGGAGGGACTAGCTGGGACCACTCTGGTGGGTCCCAGGGCAGTGAGGGCAGTTGCCGAGGGTCAGGCAGAGGGCTGGAGGGCAGGCTGGTTGGCAGTGCCAGTCCTGCCTGGCTCTGCAGGTGATGAGCAGGGAATCCTGCCATCCTCTGCTGGGCCTGGGTGTGCCCACTTGCCTGCTACTCGCTGAGGTGGTTATGACCTCCTCTCCCCTCCCCATGCCAGGCTCACCCTCTCTGTGCTCTGGGTCGAGGGCAGACGTCACAGTGAGAGACTCCACGGGCACATCCAGTGGGTCTCCGCCCTCCACAAACATCATGTGCTCCCGGGCAGCACCCTGCAGGAGGATCTGGTGGGAGATTTTCTGGGGACAAGAAGCATAGTTGTCTGTCCCTCTAGCTCCAAGGCAGGGGCTAAAGCTGGCTCAGACTGGAGCCCCATAGGACCAGTGGTGCTAGACTGTCTACCTGATGACCCCCAATGTGATGCCCTTGGCCTGGGAAGTGGGAGGCACAGGGGAGGGTTAGGGAGGGGCAGGTGCCTGGAGGAGGGGGAGCTGTCCCCTGGAGCACCTTTCCGAAGAGCACCACTTGGAGCCGGTCAGAGAAGTAGAGGCTCTCGTGGTCCGGGCTGAAGGTCACAGTGAAGTCCTGCGCCTTCCCCGGCTCCATGACACCTTCCACTGGGACCACACTGAATACGCTCTGGCCATTGTGGTTCTGTGGGCCTGCGGGTCGGGCACTGGATGTCCCCAGTCCTGCTGCTTGAACCCCACCTGCAGCCTCAGCACCTCCCCACCTGACTCCCCATCTGGCCCTGGCGCCTCTGCACACCAGTCCCTCCCCACTTACTGAGTCCCCCAGCCCAGCCACCCGTCCTGCCCACAGCTCCCGCACGCCTAATGCTCGATGCTCCCCCTGTCCCGCTCTCCTCCCCTTCAGGCCCAGCCGACCCGGCACCGTTCCTCACGGCCCCAGCGGCTCACCAACCAAGTCCGTCCTCTGGGTGGGAGAGGCCAGGAACTGAGGCAGCTGCTGTCGGGCCAGGGCCCTGGTGCTGGAGAGGCTCTCCAGCCGCATGGAGAACTTGATGGGGAGCGAGGAGTCATTCTGCAGCTGCCAGGAGGGCCTGGTGTCACTAACTGGCCCGCACCTGGCCTGTCCTCTTCCTGTAGTCAGTGCCTGTAATCTGGTCACCTGCAGCTGCACTCCACTGGGGACCAGGTGGCTACACCTCCCAGTTCCACCTGGCTGTGTCTCCAACCAGTGCTTCGGGCTGTGGGTACCTCCTCCATCCCGCCTTAGCTCTTTCCCAAGTCGGTGGCCGACTTTCCTGTCCAGCCATGTGACCAGCTCTGCGCTGCCCTCAGTCCTGAAGGCAGAGCTCCTCTTTAACTGGACGCACACCCTCCCCTGTCTCTTCCCCGCCCTCACTGCCCCTGAGAGCTCCTTCTGAACAGGACTTCCACCCTGGCTCTGCTCCTGGGATCCCACCTGAGCAGTCTGGGAGGCAGAGGTCCTCTCAAGCTGCTTGATTGAGCCCAAGACTGGGGCAGACCTCAGAGGGGCAGCAGGAGTCGGGACCTCCCTCATGCACAGGGAGCCCACAGGATAGGGTGGCCTCTTCCTGGAGGTCTGATATACTTCCTGCCCCTCAGGGGTTCCGGAATCGAGCTCAAAAGGACCCAGTGTTCAGTACAAAGCAGGAGAGTGGTGGCAGAGCGCTCCAAGCAGAGGCCCCGAGGCAGAGGGCGCAGGAAGGGACCACCTCAGCTTTTGCAGAAGCCAGGGCCCCACGTCCCCTACTCGAGAGGGCAGCAGCAGAGAGACAGCTGCTGGGGACAGCCTGTGCCTCCACTGGCTCCCCAACCAGCTGGGACTTCTAAAAGCAGGGCTGACCCCTGGCAGGACTGTTCACCTTGAAACTCGAGGAGATGGACTCTCTGGCAAGCACATAGCCCATGCTGAGCACATGGCCTTCAATGGAGCATGAGACCATGGACGCCACGCCCAGGCCCGTGAGGGTGAGCGTGAGGGAGCCTTTCTTGCTGATGATGTCCAGTGTCTCTTGAGCCTGAGGAGACCACGTCCCTTAGCAAGGAACAGCCACCTGTCTGCCAGGCACGTGCTGAGCCCGAGTTCTGTCTGTGAGCCGCTGCCTGGTGGCCTGCCCCTGCAAAACAGCCCTGAGACCCTCGCCGCCCCTGACGTGCCAGCAAGGGCATTAGGAGGGTATGCTGCTCAGACTGCTCCATCAGTCCGGGCCTGAGGGCGCAGTGGTGTCCGCAGTGCCCAGAGCCCAGGGCTGCAGCGGGGGACTCCCAAGGCCACACCTGCTTCCCAGGACCCTGGCTCTGAGGGTCTGGGGGCTGGCGCTCACCAGGATGCTTTCGCGGGGTGAGAAGGACAGCATCAGCACCTGGGTCTCGCCTGAGCACAGCTTGCTGAAGGGGTTCAGCAGAGCAAAAGGGCCACTGGGGTTCAGCACCGAGAACTCCACCTGAGGCCCACGTCAAGGAGGGAGACCTGGCGGCTCCGGGCCCTGCCCAGCCCCACCCAGACCTGCTCCCGCCCCAGCGCTGCCTGCGCCAGGTGTGGACCAGGATACGGCAAGGTCCTCGGGGCAGATGTTCTGGAGAGAGATCTTCTTTATACCACGGTGTCCTG